CACCGGGAGAAAGAGTTCCTCGGGTGCAAGGCGAACGTTAGGAAAGGAGGAAGAAGAGTAAAAGACATTTCCCCCGGCTTCCCGCACAAGGAGGAGGCCGAAAGGAAGACATGGGGAAATCTGCTGGAGTCGGGAGAACAATAAAAAAAAGGGGAGTCACGGAAAGAGGCCTGTTTTCCTAGCCCTTCATGACCGTAGAGAATAAAAGAAGAAAGAGTGAAGAAGAGGAGGCAGCCGGCCAGCCATCCGAACGACGAAAGGTACACGCACGACGAAGAAGAAAAACTGGTGGCGCTGCGATTCGCGTAATGATCCGAAGAGCACCGTTAGGCCTGGCCGCCGCGACGAGCGGACGAATTAGGGAGCGAATCTGTACGGAGCGGCGGCAGAATACAAATAACCTCGGCGCTGGTAGTATAGTGCGCTCCGTCGAGTCGTCGCCGTGTCTGGAGAGAGTGCGAGATAGAAAGAGAGAGGATATATAAGGACGACAGGGAGAGTGCGAGAGAGGGCGAGGAAACTGTGACGTAGGCTACTTGCTTGCCCCAAATACGGAATAGAGGAAATGACAAAGAAAGCGAGAAAAACGAGGAACGGGCTGGGATGGTTCATCGCGAGAGACATGGCGGCGTTGGGTTTCGGCTTAGCATGCTCATTGCAGCACTGAATGCAACAGTACCGTTCAACGCACTGAAGAGTGCGAGAGAAGCCGAGATTATGTTCCTCAGAGTGTAGAAGACGACTACGTTACGAGACAGAAGGTTGAGAGAGAGGAGAGACACACACAAAGAGAGAACTTTCTCTCATTCTTTCAAAACTACCTTCGGAATGAGTTGCGCGCTATGCTCAGTAACGTAAACAGACGCAACAGGCGCGCTCGTCTCTAAAGACGCAGAAAAGGTAACAAGCAATCCGAGTCAGAAAACGAGGTGCAAACACGCATTCTGGAGCGCGCGATTCGCGACTGTCAACCGAAAAAACCTACAGTTTGGCGTATGTGTTTTTGTGGGTGTGCGTGTGCGCGCGCGTGCAAACACACATTGGCCGTACTAATTGGGAGTGCGGAGCAAGGGTTTGTCGATGTTTTCGTACCCTCTTTCTCTGCCAGCAGCCATCTCTCTTTCTTTGTAGTCACTCCTCATCTTCCCAGACACATCTGCTTTCTTTGTTTTCTTCCTCTCTTTCCCGGATGGGAAGCGATGAGCGAGCACTCCGATTTCGTGGCGAGCCTAATTAGCGAAACAAAAGGTGGCTGTCCGCAGTGCTGACGCCGCCAAAAAACTGAGTGGCCGAGCGAAGTAAAAGGATTCACTCCTTGCTTCTTTCTTTCGCCTTGGTTTCCTCCTTTCGTGTAGTCACGCTCTCGGGGTTGTGCTTGCCGGCCGGCAGGACGTGCACAAACAAGCGCTCCGGGTTTCGAGTAATGGTGCTCGAACGGGTGCGAGGAGAGCCCGAGCAGTTTCAAGTATTGGGGGGCAAAAAAATGCAAGCCGCAGGAAGAAGGCAGATGAATGCGCGACGTGCGCGAAAGGCATTCCGCCCGCTAACTAAAAGGTTAAAGCAAAAAAAAAAAATTGTTTGGCGCCATACTTCGAAATGAGGCTTAGATGAATGAAACAGATGCAAAGAGAGAGAGAAAGAGAGAGAGAGAGAGAAAGAGAGAGATAGAGAGAGAGAGAGATAATGGCAAAATAGAAGTGAGGAGAAGAAGCGAGAGTGTTTGAAGGAGAAACGATTTAAGGATTTGCTGAAGCGCACCGCCCGGAAAAGTACACGGACATCTTCTGTCTGTGCACAGGTAGCCCGTTATTAAAAGATCGCGCGTAGTTCACGCAGTTAGTAAAGTGTTTCGCGCACAAAGATGAGATACTTCAATGAATGTCTCCGGATTGAAGGCCTCTACGACGGAGGGCTTCAGAACAGCCTTTACGTAGAAACAGCGAAAGGGCCTACAACAATAGCCTCAACAACGAAAGTCCGTATACGAAGGGGTCGTATTGAAGATCTCTGCAACAAAAGTTAGTACAACGAAATCCTATCAACGAAGGCCTCTGCAATGAAGGTCTTGAGAACGATCGTCGACCTTTACAACGAAATTAGTACAACGAAATCTTATCAACGAAGTTCTCTGCAATTGAGGTCTTTAGAACGATCCTTGACCTGTACAACGAAAGCCTCAACAACCAAGTCCAGAGTGGAAGCCTAAACAACGAAGTTTCCTACAACGAAAGCCCGCGCAATAAAGGAATCCTGGCTGCGGCGGCTGCATTTTCGATGGAGGCGGAAACATTGTAGGCCCGTGTGATCAGATTTGGGTGCACGTTAAAGAACCCCAGGTGGTCACAACGGAGTCTCCCATAAGTATATGGTGGTTTTGGGACGTTAAACCTCACATATCAATCAATAAAGACTTGTAAAACAAAGACGTTTGCTACATAGGCCTCTGCAAAGCAGGGTCCCTACAATGAAGGTTTCAACAAAGAATGTTTTTTAACGAAGTAATCCAGAACAAAACCCTCAACCACGAATGACCTTACAATGAAGAATGATGCAAGGAAGGTCTCTACAACAAAGACAACGACAACGAAGGTTCTTACTATGAAAACCCCTGGTTGTACAACGAAGACGTCCGCAACGATGCCCTCTACAACAAAGCTCACCACAATGGGACGTGTATGAAGAAGGCTTCCTTACATCCCAGAAATTAGGGTGTTTTTATAATACACGGAAATTTAAGTACACAGCCTTTTTTTGCTCTTCGGTTAATCAAAAGCACAACCAACTTGACTTAGAAATCAAATGCCGAAGTCAGTGCTTAACAGCGTGATGCCAAATTCGCTAAACGATCGTGACGAGTAAAAAAGACACAAAGTGTTTTCCACAACATGTCGTGTTTTTGCCGTTTATGTTTCGTATGCCTTGTAATACAACTAAGAAAGCCTTAGCGAAGTGCTTTGTCATACTTTGTTTACTTGTGCTTCCTTTCTTCCGCGACACGTGATCTGAATATCCCGCCATTGTGTGCACAACGACGGATTTGGTTACACCTCAGAAATGAGCTTTCTCGGGTGAAAAATAACCACCATGGTACACGAAGCCCGCAGCAGATCGGATTAACCATCACCGACATGCAAGTCAGAACGAACTGCGTCGGGCTGCTTTTGAAAGGAAGAAAAGAAAAAAAAATGAGTGGACCACGGCTCCAACTTCGAGTATTTTTCTTCTTGCTAGCATCTGCCTCTCTTAGCACGTGTTGTGTGTGTGTTAATGTTTTTAACTTATCCTGTGGTTTCCGTTCTTGTTCACTCCTTTACGACGTTTCAAAAACAGAAGACTAAAATCAAGTTGTGACACATGGATTTTTCTTTTTTCTGTACAATACTTCTGCATTCATTTTAAGCGCGCAGGCGTTGTGACTTGATTCGTCAGACATCCTTCTGCCATGAAAATGGGTTGGTCTAATGCATGAGCAAATCGAAACATTTGTACATGAGCTGTGGGCATGTTGTCGTGTAATCTGCTTTTGCTGTACACAGGAAGGAACCGTAACATTTCTTTACTGTGTCACCTCGGATCTGACTAGTAACGTATCACCAATTAAACGAGCACTAAACTTCGATTTAAACTTCGACTTTCTGAAAACGCAACCAAGTTATGACGCTGTAACCGTAAAAGCAAGCTCTTGTTTGTTTCTAGTTGGCTAACATGGTTAGTACACGGGTCGATTGAGGCCAAGAAGGAGACGGCTAAACGCACGAAACAGTAACTTACGACTAGGCGTTATTGTTACACGAGGCGAAGCAGGATCTATTGGCGGCGCTGTCAGTGATAACGCTTAGTTGTGATGCAGCTACTCACTATGTGAAGAGATTTCCTTTTGTTGAGTTTTATCTCCCTTCAGTGACCTTAGGTCCTCCCTTTCTCTAATAAAAAATGTCTATTTTTTTGTTGAGCACGCGACGCGACTACAGTGCAACTTTCTTTCGTGCCATGCACGTAGCGACGCGGTGAAACGTAATTGAAAAAGCAGGAGAAATGCGACGTGAAAGACAAATCCCCCCAAAGATAAAGTTCACGGGAAGAACGAGACTAGTCGAGGAAGAAGTATTTGTCGACGCTGCTCCAGCGTTGCGATGTTTGCTTGGCAAACGCTTCACCCGAGAGCCTCCTATCAAACGCTGTCAGAAAATTCTTAGCAACTATTGTGGCGAATTGTCATTTCCCTTTATATACAAACAGCGTAAATCTACACACTTAATTGTGTCAAGTTATGTGAAATCACTGAAAAGGATGTGTCACTGAAGACAACGTCTGGTATTATAGAAGACGTTTGACGGCGCTCCCTTGTCAAAGTGTTGGCTATCGAGATATTTCTTGTCGTGCGTGTTGTAGTAAGTTTGCATCCAGAAAACATGCAGAAATTCTGGCGAGAAAAGATTTTGAATAGTTGTGCATAAAACCTTAGTAAATATGTATAAAGCGACTGAAAATTAGTGTAGTGAGCAATGAAAGATGCATTAGAACCTAAGTACTATTGTTCAAAAGGACGAGCCCCGTTTCATTAGAAAGTTGTATATGATTAGAATAGGATTTAGCCCAAAATTTTGCGTAGTTCCCCCCCCCCCCCCCCTCTTTCACCTCCTGCCTTCGGTCACTTCCTCACACACACTTTTTAAATTTTTTTCTGCCTAGTTTGTCACTATATGCGTAAATAGCTGGGATAGTTAGTTGTGGTCACGTCTATGTGACATGATATCATGATAATACGATACTGGAGAAGGAGGACAGGGACTAGTAGGAAGGCGCAATTTCCGTTTTGCCCCTCCGGCCACACTGATATGAGCACTTCAGAGAAATTCCCGGAACTTTCGTTACAACTTCGGTCGATCGCGTACTTTCGAGTGTCTGCGTACGCGGAGTGTCTTATGGCACGCTGTAAGTCCGCATTTATGCACGACGCCTGTACGTGGCAAGTGCGACAGCGTGGGGAAGCCACTCACCCTGATCCCGCTGGAGGCGGTGACCTGCACGACCATGACCACTCTGAGTGGTGCCTCCTGGACGTAGTGGAACCGCGTCCTGCCCAGCAGACGCTCTCCGGCTTGGTTCCTGCAAGCAGAAAATGCGGTGACAAATGGGCGACTTGCGAGATCACGCGCTGCAATGCGAAGTGGTCCGTATACGACATTTGGGAGTACATGCTTCTATCGTTACCGAAGCTGAGCCTACTTGGAATGTTACTCAAAGCAAAATCAATGCTGAGTGCGGCCATGTCATCGAAGTACGTAGCGCGGTAACTTCGGGCCTGTCGAATGAGGCGAAGGAACACTCACGATTCGATGCGCAGTTCTTTTTGAGCGGTTTGTTGTGCTATCGGATTTCCGAGTACCCGCACTCGATATGCACATTAGCATTACTGGAAATTCGGACATGACTGGAGAAGGTCGGTGACGACAAGATTCAGGACGAGAACCTACTTACAACCGAACAGTTTCTCACGACTCCGTCCTTACTTCGTCCCTGTTCCGTCGCGCTCAAATTTCGAATTACGCTACCATAACAACTCATTCAAGTATCGTTTTGAAATACACATCCACCCCTCCTCTACTGGCACCTCCAACTATTTTCACTGTCAAGCTATACTCCGGTCCAAAAAGAACATGTCACAACGCAGGTGTTACAACAAATTCTGATCGGAAAGTAAAAATAAATTAAAAAAAAGCCAGCATGCGGGTAGCTTTTCATCGTGCACTGACCCTCCGAAACTTATTAATCCGTTTCAGCAGCCATCGCGATATCTTCAATATTTCAGCTTCGTCTACCACAGACGCACCTCGTGCACTTTTGGGAAGCTAGAAACAGCAGCATGCAATCTTCAGTTGAAATAGGCAAACGAAGGAAGTTATACGCTTGTCACAAAAAAAAAGAAAAAAAAGAACGATGTAAGTTACGTCTCAAGAGCACTCAAACCGAAGTTACTAAAATAATCTCGCTTTTTTTCTTTAGTTCGCAAGCTTTATTTTGTGTTACGCTCTGACAGAAGCCCGGGAGGCAAAGTGGAAAGAAAAGAAATGAGGGGAAGGGGACCACCATCCACCCTCTGTGGAGGAAGGAGGAGAGAAAGAGGGAACGTAAACAAGGAACTCAGGAATACATGGAAAGAGAAACGGGAACGAAAATTCGATGAGAGCGTCATAGGATGCATGTTTTTTTCGCGTCGCGCACCGAAGACGGCTGCGACGATTGGACGCGGTGTCGGCGCCGCGAAACACGAAGAGCAGAGTGCTCCGACAAGGCCACAATCGTGACAGAACCAGAGAGTGCAGCGACGGAAGAACTGCGTTGTTGTGCGTGCAACAGTATCCGCCGGCGGCAGCGGCGCAGCTCGAGTGGCGAAAATCAAATTTGCGAGCTGCGCCCAGAAGGGAGAACGAAATCACTGTACGAAGGAGCAAGAAATAGAGAGGATGAGAGAGGGGAAAGAGAGAACAACGTGGAGACGATTCAAAAGGAAACAGAAGAGACAGACAGACAGACAGACAGACAGACAGACAGACAGACAGACAGACAGACAGATAGATAGATAGATAGATAGATAGATAGATAGATAGATAGATAGATAGATAGATGGAAAAGAAGAGCGAAAAAGACAGGAAGATAGTGATGTGGAGACGACGGGGGGACAGAGGTGGGGAAAGAGAAGTCAAGTTATGACGGTAAGAAGAGAAATAGAGGGATAGGTAGGAAAAGAGAGTGTGAGAAAGATAGACACATACATACAGATAAAAATACAGAAGAGAGAGAGAGAAGGAGAAAGGGGGAACTGAGGGGGGGGGGGCTTTCTCGAGATTATTGTCACCGCGTTTGGCGTTTCGGGCGCACCGACGTGCGAAAGCACTCGAAAGGCTTCCGTTTTTTTTTTCCTGGCTTGAGTATAGTAGAGAGAAATGCCTGCCCCGCGGTGGCGGTGGCATGGCACGCACGCTCGACGAGAATTCGTCCCGAGAACGAATTTTCCGAGTGAGCACCGACGTACGGGTTTCGACAAAAGGTCTCCGACAGCTGCTTTTGCCGCCGCCTCAGGGGCCACTTTCGGGCCGCGACAAGTGACTTGCTGCTACCGCGCTGCCACGATGGGGTTTTCGGAAATGAGGTTAGGTTAGGAGAGGGTGGAGAACGTATACGAGAGAGGAAGAAAAGGAGGAGTTAGATTGACGGAGGAGGGAGTGAGTATTCGTGACTTTCGCTACGTTTTCACCATCTGCGGGACGTTTTTCGGTCGCCTCAACGAAGAATGGTGAAGCGACGACGAAGGGGTGGTGCGCCGTTGCTCATGACTACGGAGTTAAGTGCCGGGTACCCCAAGCGCCTTTCGTACCCTAGCCCTTGCTTTTAGTTGTGCTCTCCAAGGGTGCGGCTGGCGATCAGAACAGAAAGAGTAGGGAACAAAAAACGCCAAGAATGCGATGACCAGCCCAAGCTGCTTGAATACGCCCGCTCTTGCATTTCTTTGCACACACGTTCACATACATGGATAATGCAAAAGAACGTAGGGGCTTACTTACGCAAGCCTCTTGGGGAGCATGGTACTAAAACTCTCCATTAGGCAGTTTTAGTTGTGATTCCGCAACAGATCTTTAAAGGCAGGCTGTTGGTCATCTACAATGGCAGCCTGCGTTTGCAAAGCAGCTGTGGATAGCCAATCATAGATAAGCAATTTTAGAATAGCGCACGCGAAGATAGCAGGGAGCTTTAGAATACCGTTTTCAAGCGCTGTGGGCGTTGCGGGCGAGGCGGGCGCCCTAAGAGCTTTAGAATAGCATTTGCCCTGCTGCGAACCGCAACGCACAATCGCAGCGACACCGTAGCCTCGAAACCAGCGCTTGCGGGTCACATGCGGGCCGCCATCACCGCACGCGATTTCAGATTTTACGCGTGCGGTCTGCGAACGCGAACGCCGACTCGCGTTACGACGCATGCGCAGTGGCAGTGACCGTACCGCAAGGGCACGTGGTGCGCTATTCTAAAAATCCCTAGTGTTCGTAAAGAGGGGCCCGCAAGACAACAGTGTACGAGGCATGCGCAGTGGTGAGAAACGATAACGCCAAGCTTTGCTAAAACTCATCGATGTCTACTAGGGAGCTTTTGTACAGCGTACGTAGAGTCTGTAACAGCATTGTGTATGTAAAAAAAAACGCCGTTTAGTTTAAGGCGCACGCGCAATACTTCTCAGCTGCAAAGTGTGAAGCGACGCGTTCTTACGCAGCAACTGTGTTACGGACAAAACCTACGCAGTGCCAAAAGTTACAATAATGCACCCTGAAAAGGACAACGCTTGTGGACACGGTCTACTGGAAGGCACAGGGTCACACGGATGGGAGCTCTTTCTAGCAAGTGTTCCGAGAGAGCTACTAGAAGCTTTTCTCTGTGTGTGTTCGCGTACCTTCCCCTAGACCGTGTTCACAAGTGCTGGCCTTTAAGAAGCGAAGCTACTTAAGGCGTGGGTCTGTCCATCCTTTGTATGTATGTCGTAGTACGTAGCCACCGGTGGCACATACCCGCTCTAGAGCGGGTATGTGCGGGTATGTGCTACAAGGGATTCGAGATGGGAGATCATGGTACTTGGAATGTTCACTAGATGGGTGCACGGACGGACGGACAGACAGACTAGCAGACGGACGGATGGATAGACACGCGGACGTACGGACGGATGGACGCACGCACGAACAGACAGACAGACAGACAGACAGACAGACAGACAGACAGACAGACAGACAGACAGACAGACAGACAGACAGACAGACAGACAGGGAGATGGATGGACGGACTCATGGACAGACGGACGTACGCACGGATGGACGCACGGATTCTTGCGCGGACGAACAGAGGCAAGAACAAACGGAAGGATGGAAACACGGATGGGCTGACGGACGCTTCGCCCCACTCATCATCATTCCGTCCGTGGATATGCTGTGATTTTTTTTTTCACGATGCATTTGCAATTCGACCAAAATACGGCCCTCCCTACTTCCATAAAGGCAGTTTCAGAATAGAGTACGCAAAGCTTTGCATTAGCGTTTGTCGTGACAGTGTGTCATATGCTGTAACAACCTGGACGTCTACTTTACGTTACGAAAATGGCGTATTTAAGTAAAGCTGCCTCTTAAAAGCTGCCTGTTAAAACGGTGTTCACGCCGGTGCGAGTGGTCTCGAAGAATGGTTAGTCGATAGAGCGCATGCACACCGAGTAGTGCGAACGTCGCTGGGTAGCGGCCTGCCAATAAAGGGTCTGAAAGTGCTAGTGCCGCAGACAAGTGTACTCTTTCTCAAGGGTGAGTGGCAACGCAAGCGCAGCGCAAGTTCACGCTGTCTTGTGAGTATTCTTATTGAAAAACTCATTCTGCATACTTTACAAATTGTCCACTTATTCGTTTTTACTACATTTAGGAGTTTGCATAACACTCCGGACAAAAAGAAATTGAAAAAAGGAAACGTTATACATCGATTGGCAGCTTGTCCCTGACGTCATGGGCGCACAAGATGGTGGCTTAGATGATGCCAAGGAAATATAATCATGAAGAGATTACCTTGACTTACTATAATAACGACACCACTGAAGCATCATTGGGCCTCTGCGCATGAACAGCGACAGATGCACTGAATCAAAAATTCACGTCACGTCACACACATCACGTCACGTGACGTTGGTGCTCCAACATGGCTGCTTCAGTGATGTAACAGCAAGCTATCTACAAAAGCTCGTTTGCTTTGTTGTGTTTTCGCTGGTTGTGATCTCAGCTATGCTATCACCATCATAATGCAAGCATAACAAGCCGGACAGGCAGTGTTTCTTAGACGATAAACAACAGCACGTGACCTTCTACACGACGGCTGCATCATGTAAAATCAATTGTCAATTTTATGTTTCTTGATATTCTTGTTTGTTTTCCTTCAATATATGGCACGTAGCCACTTTGAGGGATGGGCCGAAAATGCGACGTTGAGATTTTATTATGCTGTTTTAGAAATAACTCTTCTTCTTCTTCTTGTTAATATGTTGCTGTTGTTGTTATTTGTTGTTGTTGTGTTTGTTGTTGTTTGAGCTCCTGCGCTGCTGATTCGACGATCCCTTTATTACCTGCGGTAGAAGTCCCTGTGGTTGGCGATGACGTCCCAGGTGCTGCGGTATTCGCACAGCGCGTTCTGCTTGGTCGGCACTCGGTCGTTGTGCAGGTGTTCGTCCTCATCGCAGAACTGGTTCACCTGCGTACGAGAGAGGAAACAAAAAAAAAAGGAGCCTCGTTTCAGTGGACGATCACTCGCATGTTTCGACAATCGCTTGTGCCTCGCGATCACCCCCCGGTATCCGTGATTAATTTCCCAGCCGGCGGTCGACGTTCGCGCTATCAGTGGACGCACACCGGCCGGGCCCGTGCACGCAACCAGTCAGCTCTGCCGTCGTGAGCTTCGCTAAACGATGACCGCCGGTAGGAGATGGCGTGGTGTGTGTGCGTACTCATTAGAACGCGATTAGTTTGTGGTTTTCCCTGGAGACAAGCGAGAGTAACGGAACGAGGGCTAGTTCAGAGCTATAGTTTGGTAGATGTGCGTTATGGAGAAGTAGGCAGTGCAGATCCTTATTGTTGTCTGTGGCTTCTAACCATCCGCCGGTTACGGTTTACCTGGAAAGGCATGCGTTACGGGTAACGCACAAAGCTCTGTTGATGCTTTATGCGCCATATATTGTATATTTACAGTCTCAACGAAAAAAAGAAAGATTCGACATAAATGATTGGTCACCGGAGCGGCAGGATCGCAACACGCGGTGCTGAGAGCACGCTGATGTCGAGAGTGCCAAGAACATTCCTTTTTTTTTTCGAAAACAGGGGTGTCCGGCGGGAAGCACGCCAACAAACAGCTTTTTTGAACAAGAAGGCGCTACCAACTTTCTTATTGCTATAAACGGCTCAAATAAGTGGACTATCCTCAAACGTTACGGACAAAATACAGGTTTCTGATATTGCTTGCAGGCACGGGTACACAAGATGTAGTAGGTCAAATACAGAAACGATAGAAAAATTGAATGGCACGAGATTTTTTTTCTAAAGATTTATTTATAGTAATCGTAGGTGGGACAATTGGAACACACCGAGCGTGAAAATAGCGCGCTGAAACGGGACAACGAAAAGCTGCGCACATACAGATCGCTGTGTCTCTTTCTGTCGTCCCGTTTCGGCGCACTGTTCTCATGCTCATTAAACTTGCTGTTAATTAAAACATTGCACTGTAACCAGCGCGTGTTGTAATGAAAACGAAAATTTTGCTGATGGCACGAAAGTCGCGATAAAGTTTCATTTCGTCGCGGGTCTCGTTATTAAACGTACGAGATACGTCTCAACATTAAAATTTCTTCATGAGATGACGTTGCAGTATTACGGAAAAAAGTTACACTGTAATTGAAGCTGTCGCGTATTAGCTATACGCCAGAGCCATCAAGGTCTCAAGGTTATCCGTTAGAGGCGAAAAACACAAACGAAAAAAAAAAAAACAGAGCGCGCGCTGTAAGCTGACGCTGCTGAATGTGCAATTTGGTACGTGCGGTCTTTCGAAAGCACGGCGACGCCTCGCCTGCATCACTATGTCGTGCGGCGAAGCTCATTTGCGACACCTTACTTATTCGCCCCATATTCAATGCATTTATGCAGCGAAACGTCGCGTTCTGTTAAGGGGACGAGAAAGGCGTAGGCGCGCAGTCATGGGCTCCAAGCTCCCGAATCCACCATCTCTAAAGACTTTAGGCATCTCGACTTGTCGATACAGCGTTTTAGTATAGTCTATATAGTTTAACTGGTTTTTAACTAGTCACTCAACTCCCGCTGAAAAGCGGTAGAACACCACTCTTCCGGAAAAGGCGAACACTTTTCAACTTCGATACAACTTCGAATGCTCTCTCGTCGAATTAATGGAGCTACGCTGCTTTATCATTACAGATCGAAATACGCGTAGCCCCTCCTCTTTTTTTTTTTTCGGGAGACATCTAAAATCACCTCTCAGTTTCGCTAGCTACACGTGTGATGTACCTCTAGAACTCAGTGTGTGGCACATCGCTGGCATCTGGAAGCCTCCAATCATCTTCCCTGAAAGGTATGGAAAGAAAGGGAGGGGTGCATGGCGTAAAGAGAGAGTGGGGTAAGTTGGCCGGTAGAAAGTGAGAGGTAAGGAAGTACAGAGAGAGAGAGAGAGAGAGAGAGAGAGATTGGTGCCGACTTCGGTGCGCCTCGCATGCGACGCTCGTAAATTTTAGACTCATGAATCAATGAACGCTCAAATGTTGCGCAAACGGGCGCGCGGCGGGGAGGCGGCACCGGCGGCGCCTTGTCTCGACTTGGCTCGGCTCGGCTTCTAGCGCGCGTGATGAATGAGCGCCGACCTGATGAACGAGTGCCGCTGCCCCGGGGACCCCGTACACAAACCGAGTAGTAGACTGTAATACGCGCCCCCCCCCCCCCTCCATTTCCTACCTCTAAACCTCTTTTACGTTCCCGATAAGTTATGGTGCACGACGCAGCAAACGCTCGCGCCCTAGCGCGCGCGTCTTGTCCTTCGGTAGCGATACCACTCGACTGCTGCTGCGGGCCATCCCTTTCTCGTCTACCCTGATGCGATGCATACGCCCGAACCAAACAGAGTACCTCAGCTCGAGGTGATTGCGGGAAGAAATTTGAGCGGGCTACGCGAAAGATGCGCAAACAGGGGGGGGGGGGGGGGGTGTAATCGTAAAGTATATCGCCCCCGGTGAAGTAAGATATAAACAAACACTCATGAATTATGACGTAAGTAATGGTGGGCGCCATTTTTATCGGTCGCGAAGAAACTGACCGAGTTTTCTCGCTCACTACGAAATCCCCGGATGATAAACGTTGTCAGGAAAGGACGTTTCGGAATAAATAAAAAGTTATGTTTCGGAAGCTATAACCAGACTTAGATATTCGACACTGGGCAAGTATTTGAGGAAGAAGTCGTGTGGTCATCATGTGAGTGCCCGAAAAGTTTTCTTATGATAATTTCTGTTTCTGGGGCCCTCAATACGTTCTCAGTGCACACGAAAATTGAATTTACGGTCACTGACGTTAACATGAAGTCGAGAAAGAAGTGCACTGACTTAACGTGTACAATAAATAATAAAGCAACCTACAGAGCTTCTATAGATATCCAAATTTTGTTATTCACGTCGGCTTAATGTTAATTTAATGAAAAGGATAAGGTTACTTGTCGAAACGTTGGCACAAGTGGCTCCACCTGTTCAACGATATTTCGAATTCGTCGTATGCAACACACTTTCTTTCCGCGCTGTTGTCACTTGTGTTCATATTGAGGAAGACGTACAAAAAAACTAAAACCGAAAAGAGGCAAGGCAAAAAACCGTCTCCGATACAGTTTATGCCCACTGATTGCTTATAAAAGAAATAAAGTGTAGGAAGGGGCTGTAAAAAAAAAAAATCCTTCCATAGAGCCTTCGTTGGTCTAAGACGTTACTAATTGGTCAGTCATTTTCATTCACAAATTGCAAGTCTGTGCCTTATTCCGCTACGGTGAATCCGTAGTTACGGTGCTCGGCTAATGAGTCGAAGGTCACCGGTTCGATCCCAGCTGCGACGGTTGCAATGCAATGGAGGTAAAACGGTAGAGGGTTGTGCGACGTCCGTGCTTTTTAAAGGACACCGCGTGCTCACAATTTCCGGAGCTACATCATATTATGGCGTTCCTCATATTCACACCGTGGCTTTGGAACTTATATCCCTAGATATAATTTTTGTTAGTCTGAACATAATGTTGCGATTAGAGAAAGTTAGAATCACATCAATTAGAAAACCAGCAAATTAACCACTTTTTTCATAAATGATTCACCCGGTGGAGATAATTCGATGCTGATGACATAATGGTCTGTGTAGTGTTGTAGGGGAATGGTGAAAGATCAATCAGTCAATCAATCAATCAATCAATCAATCAATCAATCAATCAATCAATCAATCAATCAATATTACTTGACAGATTAGAGGATCTTGCATGAAGGCGAAAGGTCAACTCACATTTGGTAAAGTCTGCAGTGCCATGATGGATGAGAAGACGTTCTCCTGGGTCCGGTTGGGCAGCGCATGACAGTCGTCATCTCGAGGTCGTCCCGTCATTGGATCCACGCGCGGGACGCAGCTCTGACCCGACGTCGTCCTGTGCAGGGACAAAAGAAGAGTATGAAATATTCAGGAGGAGAGAAATACTTCAGTGTTAACTTGCATTTTATCAAATTAGTCCTATTTTATTCAATTACTAGCCGATGTTTGACAACAGTGCTGGCCGCATACGAATAAGTACGATAAGGCTTCGCACACGTTCGTACAATTCAATACCAGGGTGTCCCTCCTAAAGCTAACGCATTATTATATATTATATATTGTTATATATTATATGTATTATATTATATATTGTTAGTCTCTTTGAGAATGCCTTGTCATTGTATTATTGTATTTGCCCCTCGTGCATGAGCCAGCATATTGGCCTATAAGATCGATAAATAAATAAATGAATAAATAAATAAATAAATAAATAAATAAACTTATTAAGTAATCATGATAACAATGGTACCCGAAATGCCAGCATGAAATATTTTTTTATTGCGAGATAGATTTGTTTTAAACGCCTAACACTTCACGCATATATGGGTATTTGATGTGCGCCGTTATGCCGGCGTTGTGCATGAAGCGAAGCAGTGTCTTGTGGAATCTGTTGTCATATATCCAGCGCACATAATTGGTCGCGTCACTGTATCGGAAGCGGGCTTGCAGAAAGGTGACGGGGGCGTTTCGCCTGTAACGTTTTGCGTGTTCATATAAAACTATATTCATCAGCTCGCATCACTGAAATACAGACGTACGGGCACGCGGCACCCAGTCCTAAATGCGACCACTTCCACGCAGGGATGACAGCCGGTACAAGGGCCACCGCTGCCCCAAGCATTCTAAGCACAATTGACTCCGCCGTATTCGTGAGTGCATTACCACTTTTGCACAATGTATTGCGAAAATGAAAACAAAAGTTATTCGAACCGTATGCGCTCTGCAAAAGCTTGGTTTAGCCAAGCAACTGGCCAAACAACCCGAGCCGTAATGGCGCCTTGAGAGCTGGCTTCACCACTAGCACGGTATTATTGAAAAGAAGCTAGCTTTCACTATCAGTACGTGGACGAAAAGTATCTTATTTCAAAGTAAACTTTTATGAGACGTTTGTAGCTCTTAGCGGAAACATGACACTGACAATCGTGACCTAGCTAGCTAATGAACGAGCCTACTAACTATATAAACCTTTGAAGTTCAAAGTGCAACAAACAAGGAGGCGCGTTTCACAAACCTAGTCGATTTCACCTCTGTAAAGCTAACGCACAAGTACACGGCAGACAGCGTGCCGGTACTTCGTAATTAATTAAGAACACGTACACACTTAACTGGGACAATCCCAATTAGGAGGGTTTGTTGAGAATTACAGCAACATGGCCCAATTTCCTGTTGCCTCATTTAGCAACTCAATACTACCAAATGTGCCATTTATTATAGATTTCACTAAAATGGAGAGTACGGAAGTTGCAGCCCATATAATGGACTTTTTTTCCTTTTAAACTTTTCATGGTTTACGCTTTTCTCCTCTCTTGCGTCCTACATGCGTTGGTAAGTGCAAGCCATACGAATACAATTACACTACTATTAATATAAACAATTTACATTAAAGACTTTTTTTAAGCCATCGACCACCCCCGCAAACAATTAGTTGGTAATGTACGTGTGCATTTGAAAATATTGACTCTAATTTACTCACTGGCTTACTGAATGAACGATGACGTTGGCGCATGTCTGAGTAGAATAATGATATTTGTAAACTTCAAAGCCGGTGGTGTTCATTTTCTTTTCTTTTTTATGTTCCTCGAGTGCGCTTCACAAGGCCGAGCGGCTTCGCAGAGGCCGGAAACCTAAACGGAAACCGCGGTTCTGTCACTGGATTTTGTTGTCGCCGAGGCAATTAATAAAATTATCTAAACGGTTGGAGCAAAGAGCGTAGGATTCTAAAGATGGTCTGCTCAAGGAGAAGGCGGGCGCTGAATACGAAACGATGCTTCACTTTGAAAAAAAAAAAAACAACACGAAAAATATATTTCGTCGCGAACACCCTATGCACAATGGGCTGGACCCTTCCGTCCGCTTTCCCCAGGATAACGCATTCGGGGATAACAATAGGCCGCGACTGAAATCGCGAGAGCTGAGAAATTTTCTTTTTGATTCTAGAGATGAATCGGAAGGCAGGACGACAAAGGAAAAAAATACAGAGTGATAGGGAGACCAGAGTCTTCATTCAATGCGAGGCTAATGTTTTCTTCATGGGCGCGTAATTCAAGCGCGCCAAGACGATGGGCCCACTGCCCTGTCCCATTATAGCGAGGCTTCCCTTTCATACACATATCTGTATACCGCAGGGAGAAATTTGAGGACGGAGAAGCGAAAGCTGTATAGAATGAGTGCGAGATAGAAAATTAGGCGTCTCGCCGGAAAAAAAAAGACGAAAATTAAAGTACCGGCTGACGTCACCGCGCATTCTTTGTGCTATCTTCATGATAGCTTCTGGAAGACAGAATTCAGTGAGCGAGTGAGCGTTTTTACTTGCTCTTCGATGGCTGTACGAGAAATTCGCGGTTGCATATATGCAAATGAGAAACCAGAGGTGGAGAAGCGAGAAATACTAGGGGCCCTATTGTTATGCTCTCTCGCGTTCGCGGAATATAAGGCTGCTCGTGCATGGCCGGTGAAAAACTTACGATGTGTCGCCAGGCAGCATAATACCGATGTTTGTCACGAGAACGGCGTATGTATAATGCGCGCGCGATTAAACAGTGTACCAGCGTATCGCGCCTTCAGAAACTTCGCCCACTACGACACGCCACGGCGCGTCTGGTTCGCCCGTTCGAGTGAAAAATGAACGCAGTTTTCGGTCGGCCGTGTGGTGCCTTACTTACGTTGCAGAGAAAGAGGAGATATGAAACACGTGAAAAGCTTTTCCTCCTGTGATAACGAATCAACATTTTTCCTTGGTGGTTAAATGCGACATTAAGCATTGAACACTCTGAGCAAAGAATTAAGCGTCGGAGATGTGGACCTATCCTAACATTCAGCGAAAGAAAACGAAGTGGGGTTTTCTACAGCAAAGAACGCATCCATGAATGCGACAACACATTGTAATGTTAGGAGGGCGCGAATGGTGAATTTCAAAACCATATCTAATACTAGTCGAATATTGATGACACCAAATCGAATACTATTACAAATCAAATAGTGTTCGAATAGTTTTTTATAAATAAGGCCACCATTTTGAAAGCAGCCCTTGACTGGTTAGGTAACAGTAGTCAAGACAGCGTTAGCATTTTACAGCCTTTTACTTGAAACACATGTTCACAAGCTTCGACAGGGGAACAATACGATTACTTCTGAGCTACAAAAATGGGACAAATATTTAAACTGAACCAAGTTCCTACACAGTTGCAACTAGAGACTTCGAAATTTTTCGCAAGCTTACGTTCAAATGCAGCAATGAATACAGTATTCAAGGATGTACTTTGTCAGCAGATTTCGAGAAAACCTGATACATAAAAATTAAGCAATTTTTCTGAGTTAACGTCATCATGAATTTGATGATAAGAGTAATCGATTGATGGCCCTATAACTTCGGCAACATTAGGTTTCAAGCAAAAACGCCTTCGTCCTGTGATAAATGAAGCGGCGATTGTTCATGCATCAGGGCAATTCGAACACGAGAAGAAGAACTGCTCTTCAATGATTTACCATCGTGTCATGTCAATCATGATTTTTCCGCTGCTGATCATTCAAAAAGTATTCGAAAAGTATTTGGTATTTGAAGTACGGTCAATTTTATTAGAGCGTTGGATCGATATACAACATTATTTGATTTGACATGCGATATTTTCGAATATTCACACACCTTTGCAAATTAAGACTCGTAGCTCATTCTATTGAACTAGCGCAGCTCAACAATATAACGGCTAAAAAACATGGCTGTTGTAGGAAGCAAAGAAACTTTCGTGTATAAGTATCGCTTCAACGCAAAATGTGCCGTGAGCTATCGGCACATGGTGTGAACTATCCACTCATTCCTGTTAATACAGGGTGCACGCTACACGGCCGACCAATAGATGTCCTCAGGACATCCCGGGGGCCTTTGCACAGCCGCGAAAGTCGGCTGCCCTTGCAAGTTTTCGCTCGCACAAAGAACACATATATGATGCACAAGCTATGGCGACGTCCCTGCACTTTAGACGGAACTTCACGGCTAAGCCGACCCCGATACCTCCGGCTACGGTGACAATGCGCGTGGAGTGCCCGTACAGTTGCTACTCTAACAAGAGATGTTTGTCGCTTCCATGTTACGCATAACCTATGCCTTGTTAACGTGACTATCCTGCCTCTGCATGCCCTGTCACTTCTCTTGCGCTTCCACTGTATGCGCAAGAAAAGCTGAGGCCGTAGCCTAATTGCAACCAGAGCATTTCTGCTGAAACTGTGCAGACGCTTACAGCAATTAGTGGGGCAAAATGTTGTCTCACTTCGTTATAACGGGCAAAGCGTGTCTGCCTAGGACGATAGAAAAGGAAAAAATATAATGAACACCAATATGCAAAACAAAAAACCTTAACTGTAGCCTGAACTGCAAACTGTACAGATGCTTACAATAATGAGTGAAATAGAAGGTGCATTCGCCCTGTTTTTACGAGAAATGCTCGTTCCTCAATATAATGAGATGGAAAGTGAAAAAATATTGAGCACCAGGAACGTTATAGGGTGGTTTGGGAGAGAGAGAGAAAGGAGACAGTTATGCAATTTGTTGACAAAGCTTCGCCATTTATATGGGAATAATGAATTTCTAAAAAAGAGCGTCCCTAAATGTTTATCTAAAGAGTGTCATTTAGGCACCTGAGGTTTTGTAATATTCGAGCCACATTATAAAGCACGTACTTCTTGTAAATGACGAAGTGATTGTTTCGTCACTTCCGCGGGGCGCTGACAGGAGAAAACCGAGAACCAAACTTTGTACGCTGTGTGAACGTTTGAATAAGTTAGAATCACGTTTTCGGAGTAGATAAACCTAACTGAAACACATTAAGTCTATCTGAGCAC